ATATTTCAAATACGGTCTGACCAGAGCCTCATACAGCCTCAGCAGTACCTCTCTGCTCTTGTATTCTAGCCCTCTTGAAATGAACACTAACATTGCATTTGCCAACTGAACCTGCATGTTATCCTTAAGAAAAACCTGAACTCAGACTCCCAAGTCCCTTTTTGCTTCAGACTTCTGAAGTCTTTCCCCATTGAAAAAATAGTCTACAACTCTGTTTTTCCTACCAAAGTGCATAACCTCACACTTTTGCACACTATATTCCAATTGCCACTTCTTTACCCACTCTCCAAGCCCGTTCAAGTCCTTCTGCAGTCTCACTGCTTCCACAACACCACCTGTCCCTCCTATCTTTGTGTCATCTGCAAACTTAGCAACATGCCTTCAGTTCCTTCATCCAGATCATTAATGTGTAGCATGAATCTTGAAAATAACCCTTTTTTCCCCACTCTCTGCCTTCTGCCAGTCAGTCAATCCTCTATCCATGGCAGTGCCTTGCTCCTAACACCATGGGCTCTTATCTTATTTAGCAGCCCCCTGTACAGCATCTAGAGTCATTGAGACATATAGCACAGAAACAGATCCTTTGGACCAACTCGTCCATGCCGACCAGGTTTCCCAAGCTAAACTAGTGCCATTTGCTTGTGTTTGGCCCATATCCCTGGAGACCTTTCCTTTTCATGTACTGTCCAAATGTCTATTAAACGTTGTAATGGTACCTTCATCTTCCACTTACTCTGGCAGGTCATTCCACATACAAACCATCCTCTGTGTGAAAACGTTGCCGTTCAGGTGCCTTTTAAATCTTCTTCTTCTCACCTTAAAAATATGCCCTCTAGTTTTCAACCCCCCTACCCTAGGGAAAAGATCTTTGCTATTCACATTATCTATGCTTCTCATGATTTTATTAACCTTGCTAAGGCCACTCCTCAACATTCGATGCTCCAGTGAAAAATACCCAGCTTATCCAGCCTGTCCTTGTAACTCAAACCCTCCAGTCCCACTAACATCCTTGTAAATCTTTTCTGCACCCCCTCCAATTTAATAATACCCTTCATGTAGCAGGGCAACCAGAACTGTACATAGTACTCTAAGAGTTGGCTCACTAATGTTCTGTACAACTGTAACATGAAGTCCCAATTCCTGTACTTAATGGTCTGTGCAGTGAAGGCAAGCATGTTAAACACCTTCTTAACCACCCTGTCTACCTGTGACGCAACCGTCAAACAATTACCTGAACGCCTAGGTCTCTCTGTTTGACAATAGTGTCCAGGATCCTAACGTTAATTATGTAAGTCCTGCCCTTGTTTGTCTTACCAAAATGCAACATCTCACATTTATCCAAATTAAACTCCATCTGCCACTATTCAGCCTATTGGCCCAATTGATCAAGATTCCTTTGTAATCTTAGATAATTTTTTTCACCATCGACTATACCGCCAGTTTTGGTGTCATCTGCAAACTTACTAACCATGCTTCCTAAATTCTCATCAAAATCGTTTATATAAATGACAAAACAACAGTGGACCCAGCACCGATCCCTGCGGAACACCGCTGGTCACAGTCCTCCAATCCAAGGAACAAACTCCGCCACCTCTCTTTGTCTTCTACCAGCAAGCCAATTTTGTATCCAATTGGCAAGCTCTCCTTGAAACCCATATGATCTGACTGTACTAACCAGTCTACCATGCAGAACCTTGTCAAAGGCCTTGCTAAAGTCCGTGTAGACAATGTCTGTCACTCTGCCCTCATCTATCTTGCAGTTAGAATCAGGTGAATTCGTAATGGACAACAGAGATGGCAGACCAGTTGAACAAATACTTTGGATCTGTCTTCACTAAGGAGAACACAAATAATCTTCAGGAAATGCTGGGGGACAGAGGATCAAGTGTAAAGGAGGAACTGAAGGAAATCCTTGTTAGTCAGGAACAAAAACAAAGTTGCTGGAAAAGCCCAGCAGGTCTGGCAGCATCTGTGAAGGAGAAAACAGAGTTAACGTTTCAGGTCTGGTGACCCTGCCTCAGAACTGATGGTGGCTGGGAAAACGTCAGTTTATATGCAGAAAATAGGGACGGGGTGGGGTAGGGAGTAAATGAAAGGATAGAGCCCAAAGAGAGAGAAAGACAGTTGGACAGACAAAGGAGTTGCTAACGATCAGACTGGGAGGGTGAATAGTTGTTAATGGGGACTGTTAGTGACTAACAACAGGGAGTGTGTAATGGCAGGCTATGTGGTAACAAGGCCTGGTGTGTGGGGTGGGGGGCTGGGACATGGGAGAGTTTAGGCCCTAAAATGATTGAACTCAATATTGAGTCCGGAGGGCTGTAGGGACCCCAAGCGGAAAATGAGGTGTTGTTCCTCCAGCTTGCGTTGGGTTCTTATTAGTCAGGAAGTGGTATTGGGGAAATTGATGGGATTAAAACACGATAAATCCCCTGGGCCTGATGCTCTGTATCCCAGAGTACTTAAGGAAGTGGCCCTAGAAATAATGGATGCACTCATGATCATTTTCCAGCATTCTGTAGACTCTGCAAGAGTTCCAATGGACTGGAGGGTAGCTAATGTAACTCCACGTTTTAAAAAAGGACAGAGAGAGAAAACAGGCAATTAGAGGCCAGTTAGCCTGACATCAACAGTCGGGAAAATTGCTGGAGTCAATTATTAAGGATGTAATAACTGAGCATTTGGAAAGCAGTGACAGAATTTGTCCTGGTCAGCATGGATTCACTAAAGGGTCTTCATGCGTGACAAATCTTCTGGAATTTTTTGAACATGTAACCAGTAGAGTAGCCAGTAGTGAATCCATAGATGTTGTGTATCTGGACTTTCAAAAGGCTTTTGACAAGATTCTACACAGATTAGTAAAGAAAGTTAAAGGTCATGGTATCAGAGGTAATGTATTAACATGGATAGAGAACTGGTTGGCAGACGGAAAGCGGAGAGTTGGAATAAACGGGTTGTTTTCAGACTGGCGGCCAGTGACGAATGGGGTGCCTCAGGATTCAGTGCTGCGACCCCAGCGGTTCACAATATCCATTAACGATTTGGACAGAGGAATTGAATGTCATATCTCCAAGTTTGCAGACAGCACTAGGCCAGGTGGCAGTGTGTGCTGTGAGGAGGATGCTAAGAGGCTGATTGGGCAAATACTTGGCAAATGCAATATAATGTGGATAAATGTGAAGTTATCCAGTTTGGTCATAAAAACAGGAAGGCAGATTATTATTTAAATGGTGGCTGTTTAGGAAAAGGCGAGATGGAACTAGACCTGGGTGTCATGGTGGAACAGTCACTGAAGGTTGGCATGAGGGTGCAGCAGGCAGTGAGAAAAGCTAATGGCATGCTGGCCTTCATAGCGAGAGGGTTTGAGTATTGGAGTCAGGATGTCTTGCTGCCATTATACAGGGTCTTAGTGAGGCCACACCCTGAGTATTGTGTGCAGTTTTGGTCTCCTAGTCTGAGGAAAGACATTCTTGCTACTGAAGGAGTCCAGCGAAGGTTCACCAGACTGATTCCCGGGATGGCAGGACTGATATATGAGGAAAGACTGGATCGACTGGGCTTGTACTCACTGGTATTTAGAAAAATGAGCAGGGATCTCATAGTAACAAATAAAATCCTGATGGGACTGGACAGGCTAGATGCAGGAAGAATGTTCCTGATGTTGGGGAAGTCCAGAACTAGGGGTCACAGTCTAAGAATAAGTGGTAAGCCATTCAGGACTGAGATGAGGAAGAATTTCTTCACTCAGAGAGTTGTGAAGCTGTGGAATTATCTCCCACAGGAATCTGTTGAGGCCAGTTCATTAGATATATTCAAGAGAGAGCTGGACATGGCCTTTGAGGCTAAAGGGATCAAGGGGTATGGAGAGAAAGCGGGAGTGGGATACTGAGATTGTATGATCAGCCATGATCATATTGAATGGTCATGCAGGCTCGAAGGGCTGAATGGCCTACTCCTGCACCTATTTTTTATATTTCTATGATTCACATCCTCAAAAATCTCAATGAGATTTGTGAGAGAAGATTTCTCATGCTGCGTATCCCTAATCAGTCCTTGACTCTCCAAATGCATGTAAATCCTGTCTTCTCAGAATCCCTTCCAACAACATAACCACTACTGATGTCAGACTCACCAGTCGAAAGTTCCCAGACTTCTCATTGCAGCCTTTCTTAGATAAAGACACAACATTAGCCACTTTCCGGTCTTCCGGCACCTCACCTATGGCTTTCAATGATACAAATACCTCCTGCAATTTCTTTCCTAGCTTCCCATAATGTCCTGGGATACACTTGATCAGGTCCTGGACATTTATCTATTTTTAAGCTTTTTAAGACCTCCAACACCCCCTCTTCTGTAATGTGGACTGTTTTCAAGACATCAATATTTATTTCCCGAGTTCCCTAGCTTCCATGTCTTTCTTCTCACTGATGCAAAATATTTGATTTGTATCTCTCCTGACTCCTGTGATTCCACACATAGACGACCTTGTTGATCTTTAAGGGGTCCTATTCTCTCCCCAGTTGCTCTTTTGCTCTTAATGTACTTGTCGCATCTCTTTGTATTATCCTTAGTCATATCTGCCAAGGCTATCTCATATCCTCTTTCTGTCCGCCTGATTTCCATCTTAAGAATGCCACTACACCCTTTATACTCTTCAAAAGATTCACTCGATCCCAGGTGTCCATGACTGACAAATGTCTCTTTCTTATTCTTGACTAGAGCCTCAATTTCTCTATTCATTCATTGTTCCCTACTCCTATCAGCCTTACCATTCACCCTAACAGGAACATACTGCCCCCGAATTCGTGTTATCTCACATTTGAGAACCTCTTCCTGTAATCTCTCAACGCACTGTCAGTCCGGAATTAAACATCCCTCGTCCTCTCCATCTCATCCCACCCAATCCCATCAGAATGTCCTTCTATCCCTTCCTTAATAGTATGTTTAATGTGCTCCCTCCTCGATGCCCATCATTTAAAAGGTCTCATTTTGTTTTGCAGCCTGTGGTGAAAGCTTGCAGGACTCAATTGGGAACTTTTCAACCCCAGGCTTTCCGAATGGGTATCCAACTTTCTCTCATTGTGTTTGGAGAATATCGGTGACACCAGGAGAGAAGGTGAGACTGTAGCGGATACTAGTACCTGTTGGGCTGTTGGCCTCTTGCTGTTTCCTGGCTGTTACGTGAGATGTGGATCAACTGAGTCTCGGTGCAAATGGGTTAGGGCACACAATGGAAAATAGCCACATACTGGGCAATGGGCAAAAAGCTGGCAGCTGTAGTGCCATTGTGAGCTGGTTATGTGTAGTTCACACAGTAATTGGTAGCTCGAGGCTTTGTCCTTCCAATTGATCCGTTTCCCCAGTTCCCAGATTTGTAAGGGACAGTTCAGCATATCAAAACATTCCTGGCAGGGGCTTATCACCACTGAGATAAATAATCCCCTAAATTTCACTAAATTTGCCATTTGAGTTGAAGTAATATTTTGGGATTATTTGTCCCATCACAAGATTTCATCACCCCACAGAGTCACACTCAGCCCATTCCTACTTCAGATCCAAATCTGCCCAGTCTCCATTCACAGTGGCTCACACTCTCAGTATAAATCTGTCCAGATCCCATTCTCAGCATTTCAATGGAATATATTAAAAATCAGCAGGTTGTGAAAGGTGCGGATGTTTGCTGCAGTAGAACACCTCCTATGCTCCCTAGCAACAAAACGGAGGGTTCAGCATCATCAACTCATAGGAGAAGTGAATTCCTCCCAACAAGTCTTTCTCACTCACCCCATCAAACACTCCCAGGACAGAGACAGTGTGGAGTTTGGTACAGACTCGAGCTCTCTCTACATTGGACGTGTCCAACCTTTTGGTGAGGGTGGGCGAGATCAGATTTCAAGTTTCTCTCTCACCCTGCTGGTGGTTTGCAGTGAGCTAATTTTGGGAAGATAAGGTTTGGCATAACAGCAAACATTAATTTGAGAGGAAAAGCAATTCTGAAGCAATAAATGAATGTATAATTCGTAAGTAAAAACCGAAAGAACTGCGGATGCTGTAAATCAGGAACAAAAACAAAGTTGCTGGAAAAGCTCAGCAGGTCTGGCAGCATCTGTGAAGACAAAATCAGAGTTAATGTTTTAGGTCCGGTAACCCTTCCTCAGAACAGGTCTGAGGAAGGTCACCGGACCTGAAATGTTAACTCTGATTTTTTTCTTCACAGATGCTCCCAGACCTACTGACCTTTTCCAGCAACTTTGTTTTTCTTCCTGTATAATTCATAAGAATGACAATTAAAAAAGGGCCAAGGAGCAGAGCGAACAATTAAGACCTTTTTTTTACCAACTCTGTTAACAAGAAGTGTTTTGGAAAAACAGACTAGGCTGCAGATCTTTATCACCACGAAAGGGGTGGGTGTAAGAGATAACAAGGTATAGAGCTGGATGAACACAGCAGGCCAAGCAGCATCAGAGGAGCAGGAAAGCTGATGTTTCGGGCCTAGACCCTTCTTCAGAAATGGGGGAGGGGAAGGGGGTTCTGAAATAAATAGGGAGAGAGGGGGAGGCGGATGGAAGGAGAAGATAGGTGGAGAGGAGACAGACAGGTCAAAGAGGCGGGGGTGGAGCCAGTAAAGGTGAGTGTAAGTGGGGAGTTAGGGAGGGGATAGGTCAGTCCAGGGAGGACGGACAGGTCAAGGGGGTGGGATGAGGCTAGAAGGTAGGAGATGGGGGACGGGCTTGAGGTGGGAGGAGGGGATAGGTGGGAGGAAGGACAGGTTAGGGAGGCGGGGACAAGCTGGGCTGGTCTTGGGATGCGGTAGGGGGAGGGGAGATTTTGAAGCTTGTGAAATCCACATTGATACCATTGGGCTGCAGGGTTCCCAAGCAAAATATGAGATGCTGTTCCTGCAACCTTCGGGTGGCATCGTTGTGGCACTGCAAAAGGCCCAGGATGGACATGTCGTCTGAGGAATGGGAGAGGGAGTTGAAATGGTTCGTGACTGGGAGGTACTGTTGTTTAGTGTGAATCGAGCGTAGGTGTTCCGCAAAACGGTCCCCAAGCCTCCGCTTGGTTTCCCCGACGTAGTGAAGGCCACATCTGAAACAGCAGATACAGTATACCACATTAGCAGACGTGCAGGTGAACATCTGCTTGATGTGGAAAGTCTTTCTGGGTCCTGGAACGGGGGTGACGGGGAGGTGTAGGGGCAGGTGTAGCACTTCCTGCGGTTGCAGGGAAAAGTGCCGGGGGTAGTAGGGCTGGAAGGGAGTGTGGAGCGGACAAGGGAGTCACGGAGAGAGTGGTCCCTCCGGAAAGCAGACAAGGGTGGGGAGGGAAAAATGTCTTTGGTGGTGGGGTCGGATTGCAGATTGCGGAAGTGTCGGAGGATGATGCGTTGGATCCGGAGGTTGGTGGGGTGGTACGTGAGGAGTGAGCAGGGATGGGTGTAAGTCTTGTTCTCTCTGTCTCATACAAGCTCCATTTGATTGGGAGATCCACTCTACATGGATGTGAAGGAGAGAGTCTGGTCTTTCCCTGTCACCACCCCCTGCCTGCTCCCTGACCCACCCCATGCCAGGTCTATGTCCCACCCCCAGCCCAGTCGATGACCCACTCCCGGGCTGCTCACTGATCCACCTCCTGCCCAGTCTATGTCCTACTCCCTGCCTGCTCACTGACCTACCCCTGCCTGATCCATGATCCGCTGACCCACCCATCAGCTTACCGTCCCCCGTAGTCGTAGAGTCATAGAGTAATACAGCATGGAAACAGGCCCTTCGGCCCAAAGTGGTCTATACTGACCATGGTGCCTACTCAGCTAGTTCCAATTGTCTGCATTTGGTCCATATCGCTCTAAACGCTTCACATCCTTGTACCTATATTAATGTTTTTATATGTTGCTCTTGTACCTGCCTCAACCATTTTCTGTGGCAGCCCATTCCATATACGCACCACTCTTTGCACGGAGAAGTTGGCCCTCAGGTCCTTCTTAAATCTATCCCCCTCTCATCTTCAACCTATGGCCTCTAGTTTTCAATTCCCCATCCCTGGGAAAAAGCCTTTATGCATTCATCCTATCTATGCCCCTCATAATTTTATACACTTCAAAAAGGTCACCCCTCATTCTCCTACATTCCAAGGAATAAAGTCCTATCCTGGCCAACCTCTCCCTATAACTCAGGCTTGCTAGTCCTGGTAACATCCTCGTAAATTTTCTTTGCACACTTTCCAGTTCAACTATGTCTTTCCTTTAACAGGGTGACCAAAACTGTACACAATACTCCAAGTCCAATCTCACCAACGACTCACACAACTGTACCATAACGTCCCAACTCCTATACTCAATGCCTTGACTGATGAAGGCCAGCAGGCTAAATGCCATCTTCACCACCCTGTCCACCTGTGATGCTGCTTTCAATAAACTATGTACTTGTACTCCTTGGTCCCTCCGTTCCACAACACTCCTCAGGACATTATCATTTACTGTACAAGCTCCACCTTGGTTGACTTTCCGAAGTGCAACACCTCACACTTATCTGTATTGAATTGCATTTGCCAGTCCTCAGCACACTTCCCCATCTGATCAAGATCCGTCTGTTATCTTTGATAACCTTCCTCGCTATCAACGATACCTATTTTGTATCGTCCACAAACTTACTCATCATGCCTTGTACATTCATATCAGATCATTTATGTAAATAACAGATGACAAAGGTCCCAGCAGCGACCCCTGTGGTGCACCAGTAGTCACAGGCCTCCAGTCTGAGAAATAAACTTCAACCATCACCCTCTGCTTCCTACCACCAAGCCAATTTTGAATCCAATTAGCTCCCTGTCTCTGCATCCCATGCAACCTAACTTTCATGACTAACCTGTTGTCTGGGATCTTGTCAAAGGCCTTACTAAAGTATAGACAATATCCACTGCCCTACCCATATCCATCCTCTTGGTTACCTCTTCAAAGAACTCTAAAAGATTTGTCAGACGTGATTCCAGTGCACAAATCCATGCTGACTATCCCTAACCAGACCTTGACTATCCAAATGTTGGTTGACCCAGTCCCTCAGTATCCTCTCTAATAACTTGCCTACCACTGATATCTTTCTGCTGTCCTGTGCAGGATACCACTGCCTGTCCTCTCCCCCCGTTTGCTGCTTTTCCAAACAGAGGGGCAATATCTTTTGTGTGTTTGCTGCTGACAGTTTCAAACTGAGCCTCCTGACATGATACTGGGACATGTGACCAACAACTTGGTCAACGAGAAAGGTTTTAAGGAGCATCTTACAGAAGGTCCAGATGTTTAGACAGTGTTACACTGTGAACAAATTGCTGTGTGTCTTACAGATCGTATTAAATTTTACAACCATGGACATGTATAAGAGCAGCCTGTGCTGGTACGATTACGTTGAGGTACGCAATGGATACTGGAGGAAGGCGCCACTCCTGGGTATGATCTCTAACCTCCTGCTTTTGAACATCAAGAACCCAATTCTTTGTGCAATGTGTTTTTGTAAACCTCTATAAAGTCACCCCTCAACCTCCTGCACTCAAGTGAATGAAGTCACAGCCTATCTAGCCTCTTCGTATAACTCAAACCCTCCATTCCCAGCAACATCCTAGTAAATATTTTCTAAACCCTCTCCAGCTTAATAGTAAACTTCCTATAACAGGGTAATCAGAACTTGATACTGTACTCCAGAAGAGGCCTCACCCAATGTCCTGTGCAACCTCAACATGACATCCCAAATCTCATAATCAAAGGTGTACTGAACACCTTCTTAACCACCCTGTCTATATGTGATGCAAACTTCCAAGAATTATATACCTGAACTCCTAGGTATCTCTGTTCTACAGCACTACCCAAGGCCCTACTCCATCTGCCACTCCTTAGCCCACTGACTCAGTTGATCAAGATCTCTCTGTAATCTTAGATAACCTTCTTCACTGTCCACTATACCACAAATTCTGGTGTCATCAACCTTCTTAACAATTTTCTCTACCTGTCCTGATACCTTGAGAGTCCGGTGTACATGCACATCAAGGTCCCTCTGATTCTCATTATTTCCCAGTGTCTTACCATTCATCATGTGTTTCCTTGCCTTGTTTGTTCCACCCAAGTGCATCACCTCACATTTCTCCAGATTGAATTCCAATTGCCATTGATCAGTCCCTCTCACCAGCCTGTCTATATCTTCTTATAGTATAAGGCTATCCTCCTCATTATTTACCACCGCATCAATTTTTGAATCATCTGCAAACTTTCTGGTCAACTGTCCAACATTCAAGTCTAAATTATTTATATGACTCACGAGCACCAAGAGCCCCAACACTGACCCCTGTGGGACCCTCTGGACAAGGACTTCCATCACCCTCTGATTCCTGTCACTCAGTCAATGATAGATCCAATTTGCCAAATAAAATTAGATCCCATGGGGTCTTAACTTTGTTATCAGTCTCCCTTGTACCATATCAAAAGCATTGCTGAAGTCCTAGTAAATGATGTCCAAAGCATTATCCTCATCTACACGCCTGGTCATCTCTTCAAAATATTCAATCAAAGTTGGTCAGACGTGACCTCCCCTTAACAAAATCATTCTGACTTCTCTTGATTAATCCCTGCCTCTACAAATACAGATTAATTCTGTCCCTCTGCATTGCTTCCAGTAGTATCCCCAACAGTGAGGTTAGCTTGACCGGCCTGCTTTATCCCTTGTTCCCTTCTGTGGCCCGAGAGAGGAATTGAAAAATTATTACCAGTGCCCCTGCTCTTTTCTCCCTTGCCTCACTCAAAAGCCTGAGATATAATTCATCTGGCCCTGGAGGTTTAGCTACTTTTAAGCTTGCCAGACCACTTAGAACCTCCTCTCTGTCTGTGCTAATTTTCTTCATTGCATCACAGACCTTCTCCCTGATTTCTATCCTCATATTATCCCTCTCACACACAATATTAATTTAGAATCCTACCTACATCCTCTGATTCCATGCACCAATTACTGCTGTGGTCCTTAATGGGCCCTACTCTTTCCCTTGTTATCCTTTTACCCTTAATGCCTCAATAAAATAATTTAGGATTTTCCTTTGCTTTACTTGCCATTGTCCTTTCATATCCACTTTTAGTTCTCCTAATCTTCCTTTAAAGTTCCCTCTTGCATATTCTATACCCCTCTAAGATTCTGTTGTTTTGAGCCGTCAATATCTGTTAGAAGCCTCCCTTTTTCTCTTAATCCAATGTTGCATATCCCTGGTATCCAGGGTTCGCTGGATTTGTCAGTCCTATCCTTTATCTTTATGGGAACCTGTGCTCGTCTTGAATAGGTTCCTCTGTTCTAACGCATTACCTGAAACTATCTACTTCCAGTCCACTCTAGTCAAGTTGTTTCTGATCTTATTACAATTGGACTTCCTTCAGTTTAGAACTTTGAGCTAAGGCCCATTCTTGTCCTTTCTCACAACAATCTCAAATTTAACAGAGTTATCATCACTGACTGTAATATGCTCCCATCTGATGCTTCAACCACCCTTCCACCTTCGTTACCTAGGAGTAAGCCAGGGCCTCCTCTCTAGTAGGGCCTTCTATGTACTGACTTAAAAAGCCTCTCCTGGACACATTTCAAGAATTCTGCTCCCTTCAGACCTTTCACACTCTGGATTCCCCAGTTAACATTGGGGATGTTGAAAGCTCCTACTGTCGCTACCCTATGACTTTTACAATTCCCTGAAATTTACTTCCAAATCTGCCTTCTATTTCCCTCAGATGGTTAAGGAATCTATAGTATACTCACAACAATGTGATTGGTCCTTATTGATTTTTAAGTTCTACCCACATGGCTTCATTTGAGGAGCTTTCTAAGATGTCATTCCTCCTTCCTGCTGTGTGGGTCTGACGTATGAGGAGAGATTGACTAGGTTGGGATTGTTTTTGCTACAGTTCAGATGAATGAGGGGAGATCTCATAGAGACTTATAAAATTCTAACAGGACTAGACAGGGTAGATGCAGGGAGAATGTTCCCGACAGTGGGTGTGCCCAGAACCAGGGCTCACAGTCTGAGGATTCGGGGTAGACCATTTAGGATGGAGATAAGGAGACATTTCTTCACTATCCATCCTATCTATGCCTAGAGTGGTGAGCCTGTGGAATTCATTACCACAGAACTCACTTGTTGTCTCTTCTAATTTTGACCATTCATCTTTCCGTGATGAACATACTTTCCGGATCCCACCCCCTGCAAAAATAGTTTAACATACGTTTTTGGGTCCCAGGCACAGAGGGTTGAGGTGTCAGTATCCAGTGGTAGGGGTTCTCAGGTCCTGGGCACAGAGTGGGTGAGCTGTCAGCATCTGGAGGTGGGATTTGTCGGGTCCCAGGGTGAGAGGATCAGTTCAGGGTCTGGGGGCCCATGGAAGTGTTTGGAAGCTGGGAGAATCAGTTTAGTTGTTACTCAGCAGTTAGACTCAGTGTTTAATAGTCTAACTATTTCTGAGTAACTATTTACTTAACATTGGTGGAAACTTCCAATATAATGGATACTTTTGAGGGATTCCATGTACAGTGGTATTTCCCATGCCATTCCTTTGGAGGCTGCTACAATGGGAATTCCACAGGGTCCCATCTAAAACTCCCATTTACATTTCAGAAATAACTATGTGGCCATTGGAAAATCCAGACCATGATTTCCCAGGTATAATTTATCTTGTCTCTGCCTCAGAGGGCCCTTGTTTACTTTAGCTGCTCTCTTACTTTTCATGTGTTTCTAAAGGCTCTTACAGTTTGTTTTTATTGTTTACTCTCATTCAATTTTCTTCCTCTTTGTCACTTCTTTGGTCATCCACTTTTTTTCTAAAATCATCCCACTACTCATTATTACTACTCTCCTTTTAATCTCTCCTAAACTTCTCCAGTCAAAGTTGGTCCACTTATCCAATGGCATTTTATTCCTCAAATGGATTTACATTCATTGTGAATTATGAACTATTTGTATATCCTTAATATGAAACCTCTCATCAATATGAAATTCCATCATGTTATGATTACTCCTTCCTAGATGATCATTCAATGCCGAATTACTAATTAAACTGATCTCATACTACATCTAAAGTGACTTTTTATCTGAACATATTGTGGAAAATGATCTACTTTGCATTCCATGATGTGGTCCTCTAAGCTGCTTTTGCCACTTTGATTTGCCCACTCTATGGGAGGGTCCTTATGATTATCACATTATATTTACTACAAGTTTCTCTAATTCCATAATGCTGTTCAGCACCATAATTACAACGAGATGATCAATAAACTACTGTGAGGAGTGTTTTATTGCCCTTAATTATTTCTTTGTTCCAACCTAGATTTCTGTATGAAGTTCCTATTTCATCACTACTTTCATCACATCCTTTATCATCAGGGCTGACCTTCCTTTACCATTTTGTCTGTCATCTTTGAAAACCTTCTACATATTTGTCACTTTAAAATCATTGCCTCAGTAATGGTTATTAATTGAATCCATTGGTTTCTATTTGTGTCAGTGATTTGTCTATCTTGTTATGATTGCTATGTGCATTAAGCTAAAGAAGGCTAAGGGGCAGTCGGATAGAGGTCTACAAAATTATGGGGGGCATAGATAAGATGGATAGTCAAAGGCTTTTTTCCCAGGGTGAACAGGTCAACTACAAGAGGGCACAGGTTCCAGGTGAGTGGGGGAAAGTGCGGGAGAAGTTTTTAACAGTGTGTTGGGTGCCTGAAATGCACTGCCAGTAGAGATGGTGGAAGCAGGTATGTTAGTAATATTTAAGACGTATCTTGATAGACACATGAACGGGAGGCAAAGAGGGATAGGAACTGCAAATGGGACATAAGCAGCAAGTCTAAATAAGGATTAGAAATCGCTGCAGGCTTGGTGGGCCAAAGGGCTACATTGAATTGTAATGTATTAAGAGCTTTTCATTTTAACTTTTAACTACATTTTCTTGGTAAAGCCTTGGCCACGAATATCCAATTACCATTATTCAACTCACTGACTCTGAATAGACCTGCTGAATCTTAACCCAGTCAGTATTCTGCTCTACATACCTGAAATTGCTCTTCCTACTCACGGAACTGGATGTTCCAGCCATGTTGGCTCAGAAGCTGGTGGGATTCCAATATTCCTACTTTTGTGCCTATCGCGTGGGATTCTTATGGCTCTGAGATAAAGTTTATGACAGGAAATCCCAGCCAGCAATCTCAGCCTTGCCTGCTCCTTTTAGAGTTTTAGAGTTGCTGCTAAATCCATGAAGGGTGTGTTGGGAGACCTGGCTCATGGCAGCTCAGAGGAGAGGTGAACTATCTGCAGTTGGGAAGCTTTTGACAGGGAAGAAGTTTCCAGCTGTAAAATTGGAGACATCACCTTAATTTAACAGCGGGTAGTTCTGGTCAGGCATCCACAGCAAAAACCTAATATGGGAATTTGATCCAGAATCGCAGAATTGTTACTGTACAATAGGAGGCCATTCAGCCCAATGTGCCTTTACTGGCTCTTTGAATGAGCATCATTATCTAGTGCCAATCTCCTGCTTTTATCCATACCCTTGCACACTATTTCAATCCAAATAACCATTCAATACTCTTTTAAAAACATCTGGAATATCTTAATAATGGGTCTAATGCCTTTTTTTTAAAACCTCTGGAAGAAGTTGGCGAGTGCTGAGCAGAGTTCAGGCCCAGCCTACCCTGCTCAGGTTTAGTAGTTTGCTGTGGCTGAGCCAGCATCTGCTTTGGTGCTTCTGCTGACCCCAGTCACATCCTCAAAGCCCTTCTTCTGAGGTCCAGACTGCTGAGGCAAATAGAGATCCTGCAGGTGGCCACCAGCTGCTTGTCTGGAAGATTTAAGCGAGGCCTGGTGGCCACTTTTGGGCCTATCTGGGTGTGTACTGCTTTCATCAGGCCCAGCCTGCATCTGAAAGTGGGTCCAGGTGAATTTCTATCCCAGAACTTCTGATGCTACAGACTGCCTCAGTACGGCACTCAAATGTCAGTCAACATTGCTTGAGTCTCTGGAGTGAACGCACTGTCTTCTGATTCTGAGCCAAACACTATCCTGTAATGCTATCCCTTTGCGCTCCCACCTCAATGAATTTCAGGCATGACAGTGAGATTGAATTCTTCGCCCCCAGTCACATCTTATTTGTATCTTTTGCTTTCAGCAGATATTTTCTTCTTTTCATTCCTATCATTTACACCTATTTTACATTTCAATATTTCCTTTACCACCATTAGCGCACTCTTTCTCTTTCAATCTGACCATCCTTACCCTCAGTTCCATATGCTCCTCCTCTCATGCTGTCTACTGCAAAAAACCCACCATTATCCAGTTCTGAAGCAGAGTCATATCAGACACGAAACTGTTTCTCTCTCCACAGATGCTGCCAGACCTGCTGAGTTTCCCCAGTATTTTCCGTTTGTATTTCAGATTTCCAGAAACTGCAGCATTTTATGTTTATGCTACTGTCTGCTGAACCTTAAGGACAGTCATATTCATAAATGAGGCATTTTTAAAATAGAATCTCTTTTATTGTTAATGAGCTGACTTCAAGTGAGGCAATAAATTCAGTTTTGATCCCCAGCTTCAGATTTCTGACCTGGCCATATCACACTTGCCTGCCTGGATAGTGTACTATCTCCAGACCTAATTACTTTCCAACTTTAAAGAAAGAAAAATGTGTATTTATAAAGCAAATTTAACATCTTCAGAAAGTCACAAGTATTTTACAGCCAATAAAGTACTTCTCAAATATAGTCACTGTTGTTGTAGTACAAGAAACAAGGCAGTCAATTTACCCACAGCAAGTTCCCACAAATAGCAATGATATAGTTGACCAGATAATTTGTTTTAATATGTATAACTTTATGATTTTCATTATATTTATGGGGATGGATGCGAGGCCAACTTATTTTGCCCATCCCTAATTGCCCCTGAACTGAGCGCCTTGCTTGGTCTTTTCAGAGGGCTGTTCAGAGTCAAATGCATTACTGTGGGCCTGGAGTCACATGTAGGTCAGACCGGGTAAGGATGGCAGATTTCCTTCCCTAAAGGATGGTAGTGAGCGTGATAGGTTTTTACAACAATCAATGATTGTTACTGTGATTGAGACTTTGAAATTCGTTTTCAATTCCGAATCGATATGTTGAATTTAAATTCCACTAGCTCCTGTGGTGAGAAGTAGCCCTATATTCTCAAAATACTAACATGGGCCGCTCGATATCCAGCCCAATCGCCTTACACTATACCACCATCTTCCCCAAGGGGGAAGTGGGAAAATGTACCCAATGAGGTACATCGAAACAAAATTCATTTTTAAAAATGTGTTTGTTAAGTTGACTCATTGTATGTGGCCAGTGATTAATGTTGCTCCTGGGCCATCTCATTTCAGGTCGATTCTGTGGTGAGAAACTTCCGGAAACCATCATTTCCACTGACAGCTGGCTCTGGATTGAGTTCCGCAGCAGCAGTAACTGGATGGGAAAAGGCTTCTCTGCTGTGTATGAAGGTGTCGATGCTTTTATATATTTTCTTAATGTTTCTATATTGATGTTTTTCAAAAAAAACATATTTTCACAGGTGATGTTTTGCCAATGATTTACGCTAATAAAAATGACCTCATGTACCTTTATGGAAAGTTGAATTGTTGAGAACTGTTATTTTCAGCGGAAAGCTGAAGGTCAATGATCATATCAGTGATCATTTAAAAGTTAATAAAAGTCAGCTTTTGCACAAGATTGAAACCTGGAAAATAGGAGCAGGAGTAGGCCATTCAGCCCTTTGAGCCTGCTCTGTCATTCAATATGGCTGATCATCCAACTCAGCACCCTGTTCCTGCTTTCTCCCCGTTTGATCCCTTTAATCCTAAGTATTATATCTGACTCCTTCTCGAAAATATTTAATGTATTGGCTTCAATTGCTTTCAGTGACAGAGAATTCCACAAGTTCACCACTCTCTGGGTGAATAAGTTCTCCTCATCTCAGTCCTAAATGGCCTACCCTGTAACATTAGACTGTGACCTCTGGTTCTGGATACCCTGTCGTTAGGAGTGTTCCACCCTTGCATTTATCCTGTCTAGTGCTGTTAGAATTTTAGAGATTTCTGTGATTTCCCCTCATGCTTCTAAACTCCAGTGAATGTAATTGTTACTGATTCAGTGTCCATACCTACACCAGGAAGCAGTAAACCTTTATTGCACCCTCTCCCTTGCAGAACATCCTTCCTCACATCAGGAAACAAAAACCACAGACAATGCTCCAGGTGTGGTCTCACCAAGGCCTTGTACAATTGCAGCAAGACATCCCTGCTCCTGTACTCCAATCGTCTCACTATGAAGGCCAACATAATATTTCTCATCTTCAGTGACCTGCATGCTCACTTCAACACCCAGGTCTTGTTGCACCTTCCTCTTACTTAGTACCTACGAGTATTTACAGTAGATCTTCAGACAATGTAAGCACCAATGATGCCCTCCACACCCACTTCGATTCCAACCCTTTAAGGCTCGGTTGCCAGTTTTAGAGCTGGTGCTAATGTGCCTGGCACTCAGAGATGCTCTGCTGCTCAAGAAAGTTAAATCCTGTTCATACTCTGGCACAGGGGCTTTACATTTTGGAATGGGGTCCAAAAGGGAATTGGACCCATCTGTGAAGGAGGAAAGCTAATAGGAGAAAAATTGGGGGGATGGATGAACAGTCTTCAACAGAGTTGGCACAGACCTGGTGGGCTGAATGGCTTCTATGTGGACTGTGCTGATTTTTGATTTCCAGTGTGTGAAACGGGAGAGTGGGACAATGTATAACTGTGAATAGGAAAGCAACGAGGAGAGTGAACTGGCTGAGAGAATCATCTGCTTTTTGTCCAGCAGGATGTGATAGTAGGGGAGAGGGGCACATGGAGGGTACGAGGTGGGTGAGGTATGAAGAGAACCTGTAGCATGGGCCAGGCTGTGGCTGGAATATGCCCCTGTCCCAGTGATGTCCCGAAGGGTGGAGAGTAGGGAGTCAGCATCTGACCTCTCCACTTGCCCCAGGCTGCCACACTCACATTGTGTGCTGCCTTCTCCTGCTCCACAAGAGACGGTGTGTCCTTGGTGGGCTTCTCTAACACTTTTGGAGACTTTGTGCCTGTGCCATAGCTGCTTGGGTCATACAGGTATTGGATGAGAGCTATGAGTTTCGATGGTGGTGAGAATAGCAGGTGCTGTGTGAGAGTAAAGATAGACGCACTTGCATTTCTACAACGCCTAATACGACCTCAGGACATCTCAAAATGCTTAGCAACTAATGAAGAACTCTTTTGAACTGTGGCTATTGTTGAAATGTTGAGGTGCATAACGAGCTCCCACAGAACAAAATGAACATGCCCAAAGAGTCTGTTTTGTGATGTTGATAGAAGGATAAATATTAGTCAGGACTTCATGGAGCACTCCTCTGGTTTTCTTCAAATGGTGCCATGGAATGTTCTCCATCCCTGCAGGGAATGTGTGTGCCTTCAGCTTGATGCCTGATCCTCATGGCACTATGGCACTTCCTGAATACTCCATCAGTCTTGGACATTCGTACTCATGGCTCTGGAGGAGGATTTGAGCTCACAAAATGCAACAATATACCATTGCTTACAGCTTACAGAATCCATAGAATGCAGTGTTACAGCTCGGTGTAAAAAGGCAACAGGTTTATTTGAAGGCACAAGCTTTCAGAGTTTCGCTTCTTCTTCAGGTGTCAGTGAGAGATGTGGCATCAGACACAGAATTTATAAGCAAAAGGTGAAAGGGTCGTAGAACTGATGTGAATGTATCAAACAAACCTAAGATGGCTGTTAAATCTTTAATTAGTTAGAAAGGATTAATGTGCAAATCCCAGAATTTCGTTCCAGTCACTGCCCCGCGATGACTAAAGGTTTTGTCAGGATACCACAGGTGACATCCCAGGTCAGACAATGCTTTTTGGCTATGAGACCTTGTTTAGAATCTGGCTATGTATTAACTTGGAGTCAGACTAGTTTTATTTCCAAAGTAAGAATTTGTAAATGCCACATAGACTGTGTACAGATTGTGTGCTTTTTGAACAAAATAGAATGTATTCGCAATTACAAATGCAAACTCACCCCATATATTTGTGTGTGTGTGTGTGTGTGTGTGTATCTGTGTGTCTGTGTGTGTGTGTGTGAGAGAGTGTTCAGTGTGGTAGGGTCACCTGTCGTGCAACATGAACCCAAGAATTGAGGCCGTCCTCATGTGTACTGAACTTGGCTATCAGCCTCTGCTCAACGACTCTGCATGATTGAGTATCCTGAAGTCCGCCTTGGAAGATGCTTAGCTGAAGTTCCAAAGCCGAATGTCTTTGACTACTGAAGTGTTCTCCCACCCGGGGGGGTACTGATAAAACCTTTAGTTATTTCAGGGCATTAATAGGTAATAGGGGCTATCACAGGGCCACCGTGTAATAGGGGCTATTATGGGGCCAGAGCGTAATAGGGGCTATAACAGGGCCAGAGTGTAATACCGGCTATTATAGGGCCTCATTGTAATAGGGGCTATTACAGAGTCACAGTGTAATTGGGGCCATTACAGGGCCACAGTATAATAGGGCCTATTACAGGGTCACAGTGTAATTGGGGCCATTACAGGGCCACAGTGTAATAGGGCCTATTACAGGGTCACAGTGTAATTGGGGCCATTACAGGGCCACAGTGTAATATGGGTTATTACAGCAGCCCAGTGTAATGGGAGGCTCATTGCCCATCCCTAGTTGCCCCTTGAGAAGGTGGTGGTGAGCTGCCTTCTTGAACCGCTGCAGTCCTCCCGCTGTAGTTTGACCCACAGTGCTGTGTTGGTGAGAATTCCAGGATTTTGAACCAGTGACAGTGAAGGTACAGCGATTTATTTCCAAGTCAGGATAGTGAGCAGCTTGGAAGGGAACGCACAGGTAATGGATGTGGAAGAGAAATGCTTTCTCACATAGTGAGTGGTTAAGGTCCTGGAATGCATTTCCTGAGAATGTGGTGGAGGCAGGATCAATCAAGGCTTTCATAAAGCAATTAGACAGTTCCTTTTCAAAAGTTGTACATTATTACAAGCACATGAATTAAAAGCAGATAAAAGGCAGAGAGTTTCAAAGTTGCAATAGTCCTAAGAGGAAAATGTTTTCCTCATCTCTGCCCTAAATGGGTGATCCTTAATTTTAAAATAGTGTTTACCAGTTCTGGACTGACCCACAAAGAGGAACCATCCTTTCCATATCCACTTTGTGAAGACCATTCAGGATCCTATACACTTCAATCAAGTCACCCCTTACTCTTCCAAACTCTGGTGTAGAAAAGCCCAGTCTGTCCAAATTATTTTCATTTGTCAACCCATTCGTTCAAGTAAATCTCCTCTCCATTGCCTCCAATCCATTTACATCCTTCCTCAAATAACTATTTGAGATGTGGCCTGACCTGTAGAACTGAAACATAATCTCCTTACTTTTATGTTCAGTTCCTCTTGTAATAACGGATTTTGTTGGCTCATGCACTTGATCCCTCCGTACCTCGGAGTTCTGCAGTCCGTCCCCCATTTAGATTATGGGGAGGAGGCAAGAGAATGGCATTGAATGAAATGTTCATTCAGTCAGCAGGTAGAGACACAGTGGGCTGAATGGCCGGGTAATCCTGTGATTCCAGGTAAGGACAGTTTCTTCTCCTGCAGAGGAGACATATTGAACCAGTTGGGATTTTACAACAAACCCACACATTTAGAAATGTCTTAAAACTGAATTCAAAGGCTTGAGTTGTCCTGGTGGCACTTAAACTGGCACCGTCTGGATGACAAGATGGTGTAGGGACCACTAGATTACTGCCTACTGCTCCCAGTGTCTGCTGACTGACTCCACATCCCCAGGATCCAGTTACATCCCTAAACCTGAGTCACAAAACATGGAAACTGGCCAGGCATTGCTGACCATAAACCCAAAGTAAACTAGTCCCACTAGCCTGCACTTATCCCATATCCCTTCAAATATTTCTTATTCATGAACTTATCCAGGCATTGTAACTGTACCCGCATCCATCAAGTCCTCTGGCAGTTCATTACACACGTGAACCACTCTCTGTGTAAAAAAGTTACCCCTCATGTCTTCTTTAAATCTTTCTTCTCTCACCTGAAAAATATGTCACCTAGACTTGAAATCCCCCACCCTAGGGAAAACACACCTGCCATTCACCTTATCTATAACCGTCATGGTTTTGTAAACCTCTATATTGTCACCCCTCAACCTCCTACACTCTAGTGTAAAAAGTCCCAGCCTATCCAGCCTCTCCTTCTAATTCAAACCCTCCATTCCTGGCGACACCCTGGTAAACCACTTCGGAATGCTTGACTGCTGGCATGACCCTCGGGGATTCCTGGGATGGCAAACACAGTCCGGGGGCAACTGGTCCGATTGTCCTTCGAGGTCAGGCTGGTGAGCTTCAGATGAGCCCCTGTCCCCCGTCCCATTGTGCTCAGCTCCTCCACATGGAGCTCCTCAAGAGGAGTTCAGCACCAAGATCAAGATCCAGTCAGAGCACACACACCTTCCCCATCCCCAACCCCCACCACCCACCAGCCACCACCACTTCCCAGGACAAGAGGATGAAGCAGGTCAAAGACCAGGTGGGATTAGAATGTGCAGCTAGATTATTCAGTCAGCACAGGCACAATTGGCTGAATGGCCTCTTTCTGTGCTGTAACATTTTTATGGTTTTATGCTGTTTTTGCCCAATCTAATTTATACGTGACTCCAGTCTCACACCTTTCAACTCTTCTAAACTTACAGACTGAGTCAGTTTGCCATGTTGAACCACTCCAAGAATGGCCACCACTGGCCCCTTCACAGGGTCAATAGAATGAGCAATAAATAGAATGGGTGGTATGGCGGCTGAGTGGTTAGCACTGCTGCCTTACAGCACCAGGGACCCTTGGGCGACTGTCTGTGTGGCATTTGCACTTTCTCCCTCTGTCTGCACCAGTTTCCTCCCACAGTCCAAAGATATGCAAGGATGGACATATTAAGTTTCCCATTGTGCCCAGGGATGTGCAGGCTATGTGTATGATCCATTGGAAATGCAGGGTTACAGGGATAGGGTAGGAGGATGGGTCTGGATGGGATGCTTTTCAGTGGGTTGGTGCGGACTCGATGGGCTGAATGGCCTGCTCCACACTGTAGGTGCTTCTATGATTCTGTGAAAAGTTGTCCTTATCAGGAACACCCATCGAGTGAATATCTTCCAAAAAAAAAACACAGCAGCACCTGGGAAAGGGAAAATAGATGACAAAACAGCAGGTGAGGCTAGCAGAACTCCCATTATTCCTGCTCCTTTCCCTGGGTACTCCCTTTACGCTGAGTTGAGTAGAAGTAGTGAGTGAGATGGGTACACCGTCGAGGGTCTGGTCACTGACAGCCTGTCCAGGATGGTGGGGGGCAGCAAGCTTTGAAATGAAATGGGTTCAGATTTGTCACTGTGGCCGCTTAATGATTGGTGATAGAAGCATCTTGGCCTTGCTATGAAATAAGAACTCAACGAAATGAACCATTAGAGAACTGAAGACCATTTCTTCTCATCTCTGTTTTAAAATTGCTATCCCTTTTCCTGAAGAGAAAGACACACCATCAGCCACTTGCAGCAGTCCGAATGCTTCTGCCAGTATCGCTCTCACCAACAAGCTGTTCAGTTCCTCCAGAGCCAATTAGAAAGCTCTTGTCAGGCTGATGACCTTTGGCAGCCACACTGTGTCACAAGTCCATAAGCCAATCAGCAACCAGTTGCTGGCCACATCTCACTTTGTACACACTTTGCCTATAAAGAGCTTTCCTGCTGTTCCCAGCTTGAACAAAACAGCAGTGAAAACAGTTTACAATGAGTGTTAGGAACTTACTTTTTAAAAGTACAGCAATTAATCCTTGATTTTAAAACAGTCTCTTTCCTAGTTCAGCCCAGAATCAAAAATGCCAAAAAAAAATAGAAAGACCCAGACTTTACAGGTCTCAGAGCTTCAGGTGGCTGTGATTTGTAAAAGCATCAATATTCAGTGTTCCAGTGGAGCATTGTTCCAAACTCCAAGAATCTCACCTGCTTTAGCCTGACTTTTGAACAAGGTGTCACTCCTGCCACAAAACCAAAATATTGCAGATGCTGGAGATGCAAAATAAAAACAAAATGCTGGAAAACATGGCAGCATCTATGGAGGGAGAGAAACAAAGTTAATGTTTCAGGTTGGTGTCTGATAGCTTGGTGCTCAAATTTGCCGTGTGCAGGAGAGGCAATTTGATTCTGCACCATCTCGAAATATTGTGTTGCCTCTTAGCCCTACCCCAGTCCCTCCACCCTCCCGTTGACTGAAGGAAATGTTCTCCTCACCCCAGGGCTATCTTGTCAGAAAATACCCCTCTCCCTCGAGGTTAGGTTCCCCCTCACTCTGAGTTCCCTGCTATCACACTCCCTCAGGAGAGTACCATCCTCATCCTCATGCACCTTTAAAGGAATGTCCCTTTAGACTTCATGCTGCCTTGAGGGAAGACCCTCCTTGAGGTGTGCACTCCACTCACATTCCATTCTACTTGGTCGTCCCCAGAATCAGTTGCTCACCTGGAGCCTGTCAAATGTAGCGAGTGTGAAGAGGGATGAAATGGTGGTTCCATCAGTTTGCAGAGTCTGGGCCCTGTGTGTTGGGCACCGGTGGTCACCTGTGCCCTGTCCAGGGCTTGGAGAGGGCTGGCCAAGGGCCCCCTCCACAGCACTACCCCGATCAGCTGGGACTCCCTAGTCCCTGATCCTCCTACAGGTCAGCTGGGCCTGGGCATTTTAGAGAGCCCCTCCCCCCACCAATTGTGTCAGAGCAGTGATACAACTCAGTGGGAGAACAGCTCCCTCAGCCAGAGTCACCATCAGGAATATTCTTAATCCTTCCTTACACCTTTCATAATCTCGTTATGGGCTTCCCTAGACCTCAAACTCTGAAAGCCCTTTCCTAAACCTCTTCAAGAAATGTCTTCTGATTGTATAAGTTATTGGAGGAAAGCTGGAATGTGGAGTAATCAGATCAGACACGATCTTGATGACTAGCAGAAGAGACTGGAGGGGCTGAATGGCCAGCTCCTTTTAATTCCTGGTTTTTTTATGTAAAGAGAGCTTCTGGTCTCCCATCCTAATATGATGTTCTGAGCCTTAGTGTGTCATTTTATCTGGTAACTCTCAATGATGCACCTTAGATGTTTCAGAGCTTTAGTATGAATGTAAATTGTACAGTGTATTTATATAAATTCATAGAATCTGTAATAAACATTCCTTCCCCACAAAGCACATGACACATTTCCAACTCTTCCCTTTACTCTGCAGCAATCTGTGGGGGTGATATTCACAAGGATACGGGTCAGATTCAGTCTCCGAATTATCCCGATGACTACCGGCCATCCAAGGAATGTACCTGGAGGATCACTGTTGCTGAGGAGTATCATGTAGGCCTTGTTTTCCAGGCCTTTGAGGTAAAGCCGAGTTTTCATTCTCTGTGTGTGTGTGTGTGTGTGTGTGTG